GAAACGAATCTTGATCATGTGTCGTGCATCCATGCTTATGTCCCTTGCGTTCTGATATGTGTGTGCTGTAAAAAATACAACATGTTCACACATGCTGTAGTGTCTCAGTCACAAAATTCATCCTGGAGACTACATAGTCTTTATGTTTTTTTTTTGCGTGCCTTAAGCTTGAGTTTTTCATTAATGGATGTATCTGTGACTCATTTTTGACGCACAGTCTAATATCAAGCTTGCTTGTGTTTCATTGTTCGAAAACGTGCATCTGTTTGCAGCATGTGGATTCACTCGAATGGATTTCCCACATTCACACAATCAACAGTTTATTTTGTTGACGGTGTATTTGATGCCTGTTTTCATATCTTCACAATTTTGTTTAGATTTTTTGCATTGTTCATTGATATGCCCAGATCCTTCAGGATCAGTTTTGTTTAAAGTATTAGCTGCGTAACCATATTTTGAAAAATTGTATAAATTGATAGGGTTGAAGATTTCATACTAGAAACATGTGTTCTGGATTTTTTTTGAAGAAACTTGATTTGTTAGATTCAGATCTTTGTTTCAGATTTATACAGGCTCTGAATTTGCAGATTTCATATCAGATTCAGATTTTTCAGATTTTTCAGAATCTGAAATTTTCAGATTTTTTTTCAGATTCAGATTTTTTCAGATTTTTTCAGATTTTTTCAGATTCAGACAAAATCTGAAAAAATCTGAATCTGAAAATTTAAGTAAAGAAAGTGATGAAGATTCAGATTTTCAGAATCTGAAAAAATCTGAAAAATCTGAATCTGAAAATTATCTGAAAAATTCAGATTCTGAAAAAAATCTGAAAAATCTGAATCTGAAAATAATCTGAAAAATTCAGATTCTTAAAAAACCTGAAAGAAACCTGAATCTGATGTCAAATCTGTAAAATTCCGAGCCTGGAAAAATCTGAAAAATGATTTGCATCTGATATCAAATTCAGATTCAACAAAATTGAAAAATATGATAAACTAGACAGCAAAGATGGTTTGGGAAAATTTTCAGGCCATCTGAATCTAAAGAAACGGACAGCAATGTTTAAACTTCAAACCCATAGGATGTGACAAAAAGAAA